AAAAAAAAAAAAAGGCAATAAGTAACAAGTGTCGGTGAAGATTTGTAGAAAAGGAACCTTTGTACACTGTTGGTGAAAATGTAAATTGGTGCAGCCACTGTAGAAAACAATATGGAATTTCCTTAAAAAAATTAAAAATTAGAAATACCATACAATCCAGCAGTACCACTTGTGGATATCAATCTGGAAAAAATGAAAATACCAGTTCAAAGAGATACATACGCTTCTATGTTCACTGAAGCATTGTATACAATAGCCAAGATATGGGTCAATCTATATGTCCATTGATAGATTAATGGATAAAGATGTTATATATACACAATGGAATATTACTCAGCCATAAAAAAGAATGGAAGCTCCTCACTTGTGATGACATGGATGAACCTAGAGAGTATTATGCTCAGTGAAATAAGTCAGAGAAAGACAAATACTGTATGATATTATTTACATGTGGAATCTAAAAATAAATGAACAAACAAAACAAAAAATACCATGAGAAACATACTCATAGATACAGACAATAAACTTGGTTAGCAGAGGAGGGAGAGATAAGCAAGGTGGAAAAAATAGATAAAGGGGATTAAGAAGTACAAACTTCCAGTTATAGAATGGGTGAGTCATGGGAATGTAATGTACAGCACAGGGAATATAAATAATATTGTAGCAACTATGTATGGTGTCAGGTGGCAACAAAATTTGTCATGGGGATCATTTAATAATGCATAGAAATATCAAATCACTATGATTTATACCTGAAAATAATAGAATATTCTATATCAATTATACTTCAATTATAAAGAAAAGCAATATATATAATTTATGTTATATTAAATTTTGTATTTATTTCATAAACATTTTTATTTATTTCACATATTTATAGTTATACATACAAGCAATGAGTATGCACAGAGGGAAAAGAAAGAATTGACATATTCCACACCAAATGACTCCTTTGAATAATGAAACATGAAAAATTACAACTTTGTCACTGATAGACTCAATGAATATATAACATATTGGTTAAAAAATATTAGAAATATTATTTTAATTTCTAAATAGGCACAGTATACTTTATATTTGATAATATTATATTTCAACTTAAGTCTTTAAAAGAACAGGAATTACAAAGACAAAAAATAGGGAAGACTACCTGCCTGCTTATAATATCCAGTAGCCTTCAAAAATATTTTTCCTAAGCAAAGAATACCTTGTTAAGGGGTATAATTCTCATTCTTATTATCCTGAGTGACACTGACTATAAAAAGAATTAACTTGGAATTTAACATATGATATACTATTTACAATATAGCATCATTTGATTTAGTAAATTAAATAAGACATATTGAAACATACTCAAGATGTCAAAATTCTTCAAATTTGGAAAAAAGGCAGATTAAAAAATTCCAATAAATTGATAGGAATATAAATTTATACATAATGATTCAGAGAATGTTAAATAAAGATAGAATAAAGTAAGTATTACAAGTTTTTTTAAATAAGTTTTATGGATAGTTAAAATCAGCTGGGACTGGAATCCAGTTATCTACCAAAATTTACATATCATAATAAAGATATTAATAAACATTTTTTACTGTTTAAGAAAGAGTATTTATTAGCAAAGAACATCAATATTCTTAAACCAAAACTTAAAACTGAAACATAACAAGAATTCTAAAATAATTTTATACCCCTGAAAAATTATGTAACTCAGAAAAATAAAGATTTGAAATAAGTCAGAAAATAGGTTTCAATACACATCAAATTCAATCTTTTATATATCTTATTTTCATCTACTTACCTGGATCATCTGGGTTAGTATTCATGATGGTCCACAGTCTTGTAGCCCTTGCTGATGGAAAGCTACTGATTGAAGTGTCATAAGCAGATACTGTATATGTTTGTGTAGAAATGACATCCATTCTTTGAGAGACAAGAGGTAAACAGGTAATTCTGCTTATTTCAGCACCACAAAAAAGCCCAGTGGAGCAGGCCTGCAAACAATAATTATAATAACTAAGTTCACAGTTTCTTTGTCACCAAGAGAGAAGTTTTTAAGTTAGTTTTGAGGCATTTTCTTGTCATATTCGGTAGCTCAAATCATCACCTTAATTTGCTTGAAAATAAAGTCTTTAGGGTAAATTTTATCTGTATTTCAAAATTAATCCTTCAAATTTTGGATATGCTCAATTAAATGCCTAAATGTATTCTTAATTTCTTTAATTTTAAGCCAAAATACTATTTCACATTTCCTTTGAGGGTATTTTTTTTTCCAAGGAAGAATTTGTGCTGTATGGTAGTCAATATGGATCTAAAAGCTTCATTACAAATTATAAACTCTTCCACTCTAAATGTCATATTTAGTTGGAAGCAAATGTAAAATGCAGTATATGCAACAGATAATTTGAAAACATTTTCTTGTGATGTTTGAATCATTTTAATTTGTATTGGCTTACGGAGCAATGATCCTTATAGATTTAGGTTTATGTGAATAGCCTATTTCTGCCATAAACTTACAAGATAATTTCTGCATAAAGAAATTGTTTTTAGCTTATGGGAAGAGAATTGTGATACATACATAAATAAGTACAAATATATCTGGGGATTCTCCTTTAAATATAGAATTAACACTTAGTTACACTATTTGTAGATTTTGAACTTTATGAAAATACAATTCAAATATTATTTAAAAATAGTAATGCATGCCTATTTCTTAACACTAAGGACACATTCAACAGGTATCCTTACTTAACTGGGCTAGTATTTGTTCAAGATTTCATATAATTTGCACAAAATGTAAATTTTACTTCAGATATCCTTTTTTCATTTGTTTCAGTTATAAATTCTGTATTCACTTTCAATTAACACCTGAAAGTTTTTATAAGGTCAGAGAATTCTTGATGTTTTATAACTGCTTTAAAAAATCTAACATGTAGGGGCGCCTGGGTGGCTCAGTCGGTTGAGCGGTGGACTTAAGCTCAGGTCATGATCTCGCGATCCGTGAGTTTGAGCCCTGTGTCGGGCTCTGTGCTGACAGCTCAGAGCCTGGAACCTGTTTCGGATTCTGTGTCTCCCTCTCTCTGATCCTCCCCTGTTCACGCTCTGTCTTTCTCTGTCTCAAAAATAAATAAACGTTAAAAAAAATTTAAAAAAAAATCTAACATGTAGAAAATGGTAAAAAGTGAAGCTAGAAGCGATAGAAGAAACAGCAAGAAAAACATATGTTTTATGATTCCACATATTAAGGACCAAGAGATTTGTCTTTTTCTCTACTCAAGGGTAAGCAGCAAGGCTTGGAAAGAATTCAAAGATTGTTGAAAATACACATGGAACTAGGATAGAGATCAGAATGCAAATATATTAGATTATGGTGAAAATATAGCTGTTACATAGCGCAAAAATATTTGCACGATCAACATTTTCCTACTAAATCATAATCAGAAGTTATTATCAACTACCTTGAGAAATCACTACCATGGGGTTAAGGGATCCTCAAAGCCCCATGATCAACAAGTTTTCCCCATGTCACCATTGCTACATAAGAATCACAGATATCCTTGAGGTACACTAGATCAGAACATGTAAAACAAGGTGATTCAAATACTTAATGATGTAAGGCTAAGATACTGCCATAAGAATGATCTGGAATACCTGATATTCATAGACTAAATATCTATCTTTAGACAACTTTACATTGGAACTACTAACATTTGTCTCTATGGTTCTGATATGTTCTCTAATATTGTTGACTATTATATCACTGGATATGTTAATACATCCATTCTTCCTGGTGGGAAGCCATACTTTCTCTTTCCTATCTTGTATGCCTAGGCTCACATCCATCATGTGCTGTTCTCAGTATTTAAGTCTCAAAGGTGAATTTATTTTCCTAATTTTGAGCTTGATAAGAAATGTCTTATTATATTCCCAAGTACCAGCAAATAAAATCATAGAGCCTTTTTTAAAATTAAATGTTCCTCCAAATTTATTTCAGTATTTTAATTGTTTGAACTCTCTCTCTCCTCCTCCTCCACACACACACACACACACACACACACACACACACACACACACACTAACATAATTTATCCTAGAGAAACTTCTATATTTTCCTTAGTTAAATTCAAAACTGCATGGCAAAGCTTACCACATGTTCACTAAACTTATTTCTTCTTCCTCTTGGACATGTTTTACTCACTCTTGTGTTTATGTGAGACCACGTCATTTACTCCTAATCAATGAAATGTGAATGATCATGAAGTATGTCACTTTCAGATTGATTGACAAGAGTCTGCTATGCATGAACCTCCAGCCTCTTCTTCCATGTGGCGACTTCAGAAAACACATATTAATGATAGAGGAGCCACAAAAAGGAAGTAGCCCAGATCCATAGATCTTTCTTTGAAGGAGAATATCTGAAATCAGAAACACTCACTTGGACTTCATATGAATGAAAAGTAAATTTGTATTATTCTAGGAAAAATTTAGAAGTTATTGCTGTATCAACCAGTATTGGTTGGTATCAATCTCTCCCTCACTTGGTAATGTTACAAGAAAACTAAACCATAAATGGTTGAACATTTCTTTTCCCATAACTGCAGGATTACACTGAAGGATATAAGTATTTCAAATATTTAAATTTGCTTTAATTCAGCAAATATTAAAGTTATATTTCTTTCCTAACTTCAGTTACCCTAATTTACTTATTTTGCCAATATATCTCTCATTCACTCATCATTCATCTATCAAATATGTATTGAGTACCTACCATGAATAGCATAATAACTTACTTGCTGATAGTTATTGAAATGTAATATGTGCCATGACAAAGATAGCCATTTCTACAAAACTGCATGACTTAAAAAAATTTTTTCTTTCTGAATCTATATTTGAGGAGAAAAATGCAAATAGGATCTTTTGAATCAAACCTTTATGAGAATATGGTCATCCACTTTCCATGGTCACTGTGTAGCCTTCTATGTCTTTACTCAACAAATATTTCATGATCAGTTTCTAAGTGTCAGTGATTGTTGCAAGTGCTTGGAATAAAATAACTAACAAGATATGCAATGTTTGTTTCATTACATAGCTTATCTTTTAGTAAAGGAATCAGAATTAATTAATTAATACTAATGAGTAATAAGTGGCTTAAAGACAAAATTTTGCGAGATACATAATAAGGACAAATAGGGAGGACTCTTAAAGGGAGTGGCCAGGGAAGTCTTTTCTGATCAGGGATCTGAATGTGAATTTCTGAGGAAAAGAGCATTCAAAGCAAACAGAAGAGGGGTATAATGGCCCTGAGACAGGAACATGCATTGCATGTTTGAAAGACAGCAAGATGGGGGATATGAATAAAGAGATGAACGGAAGGCCATCAGTGGATGGAAGTGAGGTCACAGACATAGGCAAGATAGGTAAGATAATGTGTTTCTTGTATTTGGAATTAATTACGAGAGTTATGGAAAGCCATTGGAGTACTTAATATTTAGGAAAAAAGATACAGTTTGATTTATATTATGAAAGGATTAAGTTAATGTTTTGTAGATAGTAGACTCTTAAGGGAGTCTGGAGTACAGGAAAGAATGGAAGCTGTGAGATATATATATA